GCCACAGTTTAATGTGTTAATATAAAATGATATTTTAATTTTTCTTGTCTTCCAAATTTGTCTGTGTCAATGATTCTAGTTTTTCCCAGTTTATTTTGTGTCTGCAGTGGCTGAATTTTGTGTTTTCATGAGTCGTGTACTGTCTTTATGTTCTTTTATTCTTGTCGGGAGTTCTTCTTCCCGTTTCTCCAATGTATGTTTCGTTGCAGGAACACGGAATTTCATAAATGACGTTTTTGTGTTTTTTATTGGTAGACTGCTGTTAGTTTTTACCAGAATGGATCTTAATGTTTTGTAGGATTTCCATCGGACTTCTATGTTGAATTTCTTGGCTAGGCGTTTGAGTTTTTCACTGAAATTTTGTAGATAAGGGAGGTAAATGGTAGTAGTTATTGTGTTTTTCTTATATTTTCTTTCAGTTGTGTCTTCTTCGGGGAGTTTTTGATGTAGGAGGAGGTGTAACCATTCTGTTTAAAACCATCTACGATCTTTTGTCGTTCTGTTTAGATGAATGTCTTATCGCAAATGTTTTCTGCTCTCTTGTTTAGGCATTGGATTATGCCACGTTTTAACGAGATTGGATGATAGGACTGGAAGTGTAAGTATCAGTTCGTGTGGGAGGGTTTTCTGTTGTCGTGATTTTTCTCTCTTGTTTACTGATGAGTATGTTATGAAATGGTAGGCTGTTTTGTTCCTCTATTTCCTTGGTGAAGTGGATTCTTTTAAATAGTAATTAAGATGTTCTAAGAAGGTTGGTAAGTTTTCATGACCGTGGGGCCAAATAACGAAGGTGTCGTCAGCATTTCATCTGTAGAAACTTGGTTTTATAGGTGTGGATGAAAGGGCTTTTTCTTCAAAGCCTTCCATTAAAATGTCTGCTAGGATTGGAGAGAGTGGTGATCCCATGGTTAGACCATCTGTTTGTTCGTAGAATTCTTCGTTGTATTGGAAATAAGTTGATTCTAGGCAAATAATCGTTAGTTCTATGATGTTCCAATCATAACACGTTCTCCAAAATCCACTAGAATATTACGAAGACCGACAACACCTTACACACACTGACCTGAAGAAGACGAAAGGCGGAAGACTTTCGAAACGTCATCCTCTACACTTGTGTCTCTACAACAGGCATTTGCCGTCCATTCTACAAAGTTTCATCGTGAATACTTTGCCGAAACTTTCTATCAATGATATAATGTATTCTATCAATACATTATTGATAGAATAATGGTATAACAATTTTTAATTGATATAATGTATTCTATAAAATGGTTTCTGAATTAACAAAATGCTTTATGAGGCCACCGAATAATTCGTGATCCGAAAAAGGGAATATTGAGAATGGAGTTAATGGTCAAACTTTAAGGGTTAACTTCCTAAAAATTATAAACGCTATCTTTGACATCTCCCGACATGTTAAGGTGTATCATCCTGATGGAAGAAGGTTGATTATAGACTACAATAGCCTTAGAAGCACTGAATCCGGTGGACATTGAAGTTTGGTGTATCTTCCATAATTCGTCTCCAGGGTATCATATTAATGATATGCTTTTAATGCGACAATACTGACAATTATGGTTTTATAAGTAAATCTACAAAGAGCTTAAAAACGTCGTGATCACTTTCTTCATCTAGATTGAGATTTCTGCACTGGCAAAATGATCAATAACCACTGAAATCTATTTCTGTTAATCCTTTTGTGACGAAGAATAATCAAAACAATAATTCTAAAGAGAAAATTTTCTTTATTCTAACAAACATGATTCTTTCTACCAGTTTTATTTTGAATAGTATTCTTATGCAGTTAGTGCTTTAAAAAGAATATTTCAAAACGAACAAATTCTACATTGCTAAATTAGGTAAATTGTGTATGACGAAAATTCTTAAGTATTCATAATTTATAATTCATAATTTATATAATTGATAATTTATATATTTATATAATTTATAATTATAAATATATAAATTATCAATTATATAAATCATGAATTATCAATTATATAAATTATCAATTATATAAATTATCAATTATATAAATTATCAATTATATAAATTATCAATTATAAATTATATTAACTATTCAATGTATACAACAGGATCTAGTGCAACAATAATCTCATATTTTCAAAAGATACCCGGATATTGATATATACACTGGCATGGCATAGTGATTAGGGTGCTCGATTCGCAATATGTGGATCGCGGGATCGAAACCTGTCCCTGAGCATGTTCGTCCTTTCAGCAGTGTGAGCGTTTTAACGTAACAATCGATCTTTACGTTGGTAAAGAGTAGCCCAAACGTAAATGGTGTTGACTAGCTATCTTCCCTCTAGTCTAGCATTCCTGACCGACGCGGCTCGTCACAGCCACCTTACCAGTCCTTGGGATTTATCGAAAACAAACAAATAAAACTAAGATAATATTCAAATGAAAACTGTAATGATTTTTCGTTGTACTTGCATTTTAGAGTTTTACGACAGGTTATGGAGACAGCAAGCCGGCCCCTGGTATCTAAGAGGTTGAGAAGTGCCACCCTAGTCTTTTACTTCAAAATTAGGGATAGTTAGTGGGTGATAGCCCTCAACTAGATTTGCGTGAAATTCAATAAAACAAAAAAATAATTATGCATATCTTTTATATATGTGTGTGGGCACTTTTTTATGAGTCAAAGAAAGAAAATGTAGTTTGTGTTGTGTGTTTATCATATGCTTTGAAAATAATACTTTGCTTTTAGGTCCATAACACATATTGAATATGAGACATTTTATACAATCTTTAAAATAATTATTTACTCATTTTATCCGGTGGTGGCGCTAGTTTTGCTGTGTACTGTAGTTTGTTGCATTAATGGAAGGTTAGTGTTGTTCATCACTTAGGTAGGGGTAAACAATGACGTTTCTGAAAAGAATTTTACGTGAATAACATTAATATCAGTGTTAATTTGTTGTTTTTTTATTTATTTCTTGAAATTTTTCTAATAGTGTGTCATATATCAACCGAAGGTTCATAATCGAAACACCAAGTTCTAGTTGTTTTAAGTGTTACTCCCGTTAGTGTGGCAATATTTACTTTTTACAAATTAGAATTAATTTTTGTGATTAATCGTCATTGTTTTACGCTTATATTAAATTAGGTTTAATAATAATAACAATTTGTTGTTTGTTTTGTTATTAAGTCTTAAGTGCAAAGCATCAGGGTTTTTAAATTTTAGCGTTACGAGCCCTCAGACTTATCGATGAGCCACCGTGAGGGTTAACAATAACAATGAATCTTACGAATCTTATTCTTACTCTTAGGCATCAGCGTAAAATTTAAAAAATCTTTTTAAGTAGCTCATGCATGTGTAACTATAAGTTACATCAGTCAACTACTTTGACATCGAATTTTAAGCTAAAAAACTAAATTCGGAGAACATTGGGTTTAATAATGAGGTTACAGGTTTCGTGGAGTGAGTATTTATTCCTCTTTTCTTTTTTTTTCATTCTTTTTACAACAAAGTAAAACCCAAAACATGCTTGAAAACATATTTGGTTAAAAGCTTCATTTTATGGAACTGAATTATTACTTTTTAAACTACATTTTAGAATAATTCTTCTAAAAATCTAGTTTAAAGAACTAAGTCTTGCTTGTTCGTCAAGTATTATTACTAGTGTAATGGCAGTATTACATGCATTTCAAAACGGTAAACCTGTCACATATATATTTTAAATTAAATCTTAAAACTTCATTCATAAAAAATGTACAAGTTTAAATTTTCAGTTTAAAAGGTTTATTTAATATCTGTGTCGTAGAAGAAAAAAAAGAGAAATATTAATAATTAATACAAAAACAGTGAAGAAACATTCGCTTATAATCTCACCATTTTCATTCTTTGGTCTCAGGCCTAATGCCAACATAGACGACCAGTATAAATGCAAAAGATACTGGGCATGACTTTTATGCAAAGTCTTCCGTTGTGTTATTAATAAATGTCAGTTATTATCTAGTAATTATAAATTAGTTCTAAATTTTGCTTATGTGAATCATGAAAATACAACATTATAGATATTATTTTAGGGCTAGGATTTATTTTCACGGTGTATGACTGAGTGTACTTGAAACATTAAATCTCACCACTGAGAAAGCAGAATATTTCAATAATGGAAAATACAGATGGGTAATTAGTCATTCACAAAATCATATGCTGAAAATTAGTGCTTTGGTTAGGCTAAATACTTGTACTGAAATGTATTCATACTTTTTTGTATATTCGTTGAAACGTTTATTGATACTTTTTACACACAGTTTTTACTCTTCTTTTCTTACAATTACTTAATTTGTTCAAAAATTATTATTAATTTTAGCTTGTGAAATCATAAAATGGTTAAAAAGATTTGAAAGACAAGTAATTATGACCTTCAAATCATCCTACTACTAGGATGATTCTTTGAGTAGAAGGGTTATTGTATGGAGTGAGGTTAAAATCTTTTATTCTATCTTGAGAAAAGGAGGGTAAGAGATGATTTTACTTAAGTTCACAACATTATCCAGGGTATCAATAGGATAAAGGTGTCTGATTTCTTTGTGCTGTATCCTGAAGAACAAGGGAACACAAGTTTAAAATTTGGAAAAAAAACAGACTAAGTTCAAGATAAGACCATTTCATCTTTCTGATTGGCTTATGAGATAAGTTTCCATGGGACCTGGCAAGTTTAAAATGTGAATCAATAATTTTCTAAAGAATAAAAGGCAGGCTTAAATTTTTACTTTTTCATCATGTGTGTGTGTGTGTGTGTGCAGGGACAGCCTTGAATGAGCCAATGCCGTGTTGATATTAATGTTTTATCACAGTATTTGGTGGTTTTCTAAACTTGAATGCTAGTACTTGACATGGAAATTTCCTGGATAGCTTTTACACAGAGTATTCTCAAATAGTTTTTGTAATTCCTTTCTCCTGTCTTTGATTTGTAAGACCTTGTAGATTACCCCAGTAGGTGAATATTCTAAGTTACCCTAGTAATTGTAGTGAAGTTTACTTATGTATAATATCCAAACTTGTATATTCTTGATAAAATTATTAAATAACCTTTTTATTTGCTTTATGTTCTGTAAAAATTAGTGTGTTTTTGTGTCTGATTGTGGAACTTGTTGTCTATACTGCTGATGTGGGGCTGGTTTCATTCTGTGTTTCTCTCTATTTTATACTGTCACATCTGTCCAAGTTGTATGATTTTTGGTATTAGCCTGAGTGGGTAATAACATCTTTTTCTAATCTTACAGTTACGCCATGATGTAGTTATACTGAGGTTTTATCAAGACATTCGACATTTCTGCTAACTGTGCAGGTACTTATGTGGCTCACCCTAATAATAATGTTGCATTTTATGCTAAAATATTATATAATATTAAACACGAAGAAGGAAATAGGATTATTATTAATTTTCAAAGACTAAGTATTTTAATTGTAAATAAAAACAAGTTAACATGCAGAAAAATATTCAATAATTGAACAAAATGGGATAATATTTATTTTATTTTGGCACTGAAAATAAAGTATTTACAACCTAAATAACTTATTTGGTGGCTAAAAAAAAAGGGACAAGTCAAATTTTGAATTAATTAATATATTAAATAATTAATCAATTTTCCATTTATTTTTTCACTTCTCTGAAAATTATTTTCTTTTTTTCGTTTTGTTGAACTGGTTATTATAGCACAGTAACCAGGTAATGTTTATTTCACAATCCTGTTATTCTGAGATATCACATTCAGTTCTGTGTTGTGCATTTCCTGTGTCACATTTTGCTGTGGATTGAGGAGTTCAAAATAAATTAGTCCTTTCATGTCCCACCAAATGCAAATCATGACTTTCTGTGGATGGAGTCCAGGTTTTGAGGTTGGAAGTGGTTTTTGTCTAGGACTGAGCCATTGTTTTTAGTGTTTAATATTCGCATAGAGAATCCATTTTTCATCACCAGTGACAATTCTGTCCAAAAATGGTTCACGTGCATTACGAGCCAGAAGAGATGAAGCAACGTTCACACGTGGAAAATGATGATCATCGGAGAGTTCGTGAGGCACCCAAACACCTTCTTTAAGGAGTTTTCCGATATTCCTTAGATGTTTACGTATTGTTTCATGAGAGACATACAATTTCAGGGCCATTTCATGAGTGTGTTGCCTAGGGTTAGACTCAACAAGTGTCTTCAGAGCATCAATATCAATTCTAACATGCTGGCCTCTGCCATCACAGTTTTCAAGGCTAAAGTCACTTGAATGAAATTTGCTGAACCATCATTAACACTTACGAACGTTCAAAACATTTCCATAAACTCCTTTGATATTCTATGGTTTCAGAAGCATTGTTTCCCTTCTTGTATTCAAACAGCATTACATGCCGAATGTGTGTGAGTATAATATTTATGGTTATAACATTTCACCAGGCATCATCAAGTACAACAACTATTAGGTCATCAAGAAATTAATGTATCATTTTGGAACACTCATTAACAACTTCCCCAAAAATGTACATCACGTATAATAGTTAAACGAACCACCTAAACATCATGTTAGTACAGCCTATATAATGTATAAAGTTTATTATGCTCTAATCCCTTATAGTGATGGCACACGACAAGTATTTATCCAACAATTAACAAGTTTTAAACATTATTGACTTAGTCTTTCATATCTAAAAAACAAAGTACTTTTTTTCTCATATGTCAGGTTTATTAAAAAGGATTGTTTATCCAGAAATTAGTTAAATTCTAATACAGGAGTTGGCAAGAAATGAGTTTAATTCTAGTACAGGAGTTGGCTAGAAATGAGTTTAATTCTAGTAC